TTGAAGCTTCATTTAAGATATTGTAAACTGGTTCCTTCGTTGGGACTGGATCAGAAGGTGAGTTTTTGATCTGTCTTGTTGATTGTTGCTGGGGTTCACGTCTCCTGATGGGAAATGGGCAATTGTTGAGTTTGTCATATATGCCTGTTTAACATTGATGTAGAGTCCTGTACAATAATACTTGTTTTTTCTTATTTTTTTACTTTTGGTACTAGAATGTCTGTGTAATTCTTCTACCAGCTGTCTAGGTCTTGGAATAGCTAATTGTGTAGGATTAATCGCACCGATATTTCGTGCGGGTACTAGCTATGCATATTGATGTCTCATTGAGGTTTGACCGACAAATTTGGATTCCAAGATTATCCAAAAATCGTTTTCCCTCGATTCCTTATTACTTCGCATTCGTGTGTTTTACGGGCACTGTATGGTCATCACGTTGCATTTTGCCGCGCCGGTCATACCTGTACGTTCCCAATATCTGTTTAATATAACAACCGGTAAATGAAACATCCGGTTGAGTGTTATTAGATTTCATCATTTTTCAGGCTACAGTAGAGTTGGGGAGGATTTTTTTTTTTTGGGGGGGGGAGGGTGACATACCAGTACACTGGTATGTACTTCAGAGCTCAGTGCGATTCATCCATAGTTCTGGACCAGCAGGCGCTTCGAGTCCACCTTTCTTCCTGTCCTTGTCTTAATAAGAAAGTTGAACGTTTTACTACGCGTCACCCTGGATTGTCAAAAGAAATTGGCTAGAATTAAATGGGACTCCGAGTATTGCAAATAATGGTCTTAAGAGGTGAGAAAAGCTTGCAAGACCGCTCCATTGACTTCATCGATTACTGCCCTTTAATCTACTGTCAACATGATTAGAGTTCACAAGTTCATCCTTTACGTAGTCAGTACTATATCGGATGAATTATAACTTTGTTATCGGTTGCTTCAATGTTCTTTTTGGTAACCCAAAGAACATCACTTCATTTTACGTTGTCGACATTAGGGAAGAGTCAGATTTATTCTTATCGATGCGTTGGCTGAAATAGCCGATGTATTTAAACAAGAGTGAGCTGCTCAAAAACGGTAGTGAACAACTTTCTGACTGATTTGTCTTGGTACAGCTTGAAAATGGGACGAGGTTCCTACTCAAAATGATATCTGACACGTCCGAAACTAGGTTATGGACGGTAACTTTCTATCGAAATACTAATTCACCAGTCCGCAAGTCTGATCCGCTTAGACGAAAATGACGTCTACTCAGATGCAGCACATATTTTAACGTTCAATGAAAACACTTGGCTTGAAATGATGAATAGGCTAGAGTGAGGAATAAGAGTTCCATTTGACCATTTCGAATGGTTTGATATGTTACTGGTATGACTTACAGAAGCAGGAACGGATTCACAACACAAAGTTTTTATATGTTGAATGAAAAGTCAGGACTAAGTTGGTTAAGATGCAGAAAATAAACGGGCGTCTTGCCTCAAGACACAAAACAGTCGTCTCTTTCCCTTTCTCCACGGAGACGGATTCAACGAGTTCGTGTATTAGCCAGGAGATGAGTTCTTTCACATTACGCACCTGTTGTACGACATTCAACTGCCAAACTAGTCACCACGCAGTCCTGATATATAAATCCAATAGATGTGTCTGTCCTTTATATGATGAACACAAATATTTTCATAGAAAAAGTTCTAACTAAAAAAGGCCATCATTAAGTAATGGGCCAAACGGAAACGAGACTTCTGGAGCATTTGATCAATAGTATACTAAGACGTGTTACTAGTTATGAATCACAAACATATTGATTTCCGAAGTGTGGTTATTTCTACTAATCGTTTGCATTGGCCTTAATACTATTGCATACCCCATTAAAACTTTGAGTGCAATATTCAGAAAAGCATTCAAGTCACCTGCTATTTTAATCCAGTGACTAAGTGTACTGCTCACAGTTTCAATGTTTCTAAGTATGCCAATGACCAAGGTGAACAAGACAAACGTGAGCGCTTAGCGGTCTGCCTCCCCTTTTGTGAGCATTCCAATAGTATTGCTGATGAGCTCAAAACAACGGTTCCCCCAGATAGTGTTGCTATCGCACGTGGTGGGATGGGGGAGGGGCACAGAACAATTTAATATCCGATTTTGATCGGAATTGATCAGTATGTGCGTAATACGGATCAGCGAGGTAGCCACTTGTAGCCACTCAATCCTTCGGGGTTGTTGAACGGAAATCAATTTTCGGTTCTTCTTTTACTTGGAAGGATATTCGGTTGAAAGTGGTTATACTAGAAACAGAAAATAAAAGGCGAATTATTTCATTATTGTCGGTTTACACAAATGCACTAAATCCTACAGCTTAAGGTCACCGCTTGCTTGAGATTCAATCCAGAAATAAATGATCTTTTAAACTTACTTCCAAATGTTGAAATATGGTAAAACCGTCCGGGTACAACTGAAGTGGGATACAATGTGGGCTATCTGTAGACACAGCAGATACTTATTTCAGCGACTGTTATCAAGTCAAACAAATTTTACCGAGGTCGAATGCAACCACATGAGACGGACTTTTTTGTCTGAAATTGGAGCTGCTATTCATATATTTCCCTTTTGTATAGCACATGGGAAAGTCTGATTAAACAAGCCACATCCTCTTTTGATGTGCATATGGGAAATTTCACGAGGGCATATAAAAATAAATGGATTTTTCTTGGGAAATCTTACTGAGATCTGTAATTCAATGGTACACATACAAGGTAATGGAGCGGTAGACTCAAACGACCATGTGACTAAAATATATTGAGCGGTTTCTTCTGTTTGCCCTCAAACGAAACTATCCAATCAAACTTTCGCTTGTGATCGGATTGTCCTTTCGTTCTGAATAAAAGGAACCGGACAGGAAGCAGTGCTTGTTGTTTTAAAACTGGTCAGTTTCACGAGGAGTAGGTTACACAGTGAGATGAAGTGACTTTTCTGCTGCGGAGAACATTAGGTACCCCTCTGTAATATGTACGAAGATTTTGGCACTATCACATACATGGCGATTTTCTATATGAGGAATTACCTTTTCAGGTATGAATCGCCCTTTCTGCCTATCAGACTTTCTGTTTCTCTTTTATGAGAGTTCCGAGTTCCTTCGGCTCGTGTTCCTCTTGCATTTTCGTAATTGATTTTACACGTTTTGTGTCCCCAGGCGTCCCCAGTTTCACAGTCTTCGACTCGCAATGCTGAGGGTGAACGAGACGCGGTTGTGAAGAATTCTGAATCGCCCGTTCAATCTGAAGCGGAACATGTTTTTAGCAGGGATAGAGTTGTTTCAGAATCGGTGGTCGATAAATCGTTGATTGAGAAGACGGTTGATCGTGTGTTGGAGGAATCGGTAACCGATGTGGATACTTCTGTTCGTGATGCGGTTGCTGTGACCCCGTGTTCTGAGGTTAGTTTGCTTTAGTTTCCCTTCTCCGGTGTTTCTGTTTTCCGTCATAACTTGTGCATGACCTCTGTGTGATTTCAGTGTACAATGTAGGTATGTGTTGGAGATGAATAAATTGTGCGATTGGTTTTTCGCTGCTTGTTTAAACTTTTTCGACTGTTTTAATTTACGTGAGTTCACACGGTGAACATAACTCATCGTGACTGTGGCTGGAGAACTGTTATTGCATTGCTTTTCCCAGAAAGTGATATTTCATAGGGTGGAATTAGAAGATTCGACTTTTGTGGAGCCTCTCTTTATGTGTTTATCATTTTCATGGGGTACCCTAATGTTTTCGTTCTCTGGGATAATTGTCCAATCCCACATCTTCGAGTGATTGTGATGTTACATGAATGAGACCGCGCTTCATTGTTTGATCATCTGTTTAATTTTGGTCGTCGTGGCTGTGCAGAGCAAGAGAAAGACTCGTTGACGGTCGTCTACGTGTCTCACTTGTACTGGTATGCGTTTGCTAAGTTTATATTATCATCATCATTAGTATAATGCTTATATTTTACACATTTCACAGCTCAGAGTGTGTCGACGAATCAAGAAGCAACTAATCCATGATTTACCTATGGGCTAAATACCGTCTGGTTTTCCAGACCAAAGATAGTGAACTTTTTAAGGAATTAGCAACTGGAGCTTTCAGCTGGCCAAAATCGGAGCCGAAAAATAGCCGGTTAGTATCCAGTTCATTGGAGGATGCTCCGTTTGGACGGGGTCAAATGGCCACGGTACCCGATACTCTTCAATGTCCAATCAATTCAATGAATTACACCTCAACCAGGTTGGTGTGTTATTGTGGTTCGTACGCCTCTTGATGTTTCAATTGAAATCACGGTTTTCCGCCAACTCCCACAAGTGAACTGCCAGTGGTTCACGACCGGATTACAACCGCTGATGTTGGCTTTTCGCCCTTTCTCTCTCTCTTTGTCGGGAAACCACCACCACGGGAAAGTGGCGAGCAAAGTTCTCTCTGCAAATGTTATTTGAAACCCTTCATTGCACAAAATCATTTCCCAAAGTCCAAGAGAGGGATCACCAGCCAAAACGCAAAACACGTCCCTACTGTGACAATTTTGTAAACAACCGTGTTGATTGTTGTTTTTGTAGAACATGTAGGGACATGTACCGTACATGTCCCTACCGTACCTAGGCCCTTCTGGTTTTCAGAATGTACATTTACTTGTGAATTGATTATCTACGGATAGTGGTTTTGGACTGGTGCCACCTCAAAACTATGTTCAATACCCAAATTTTCTGGTTATATTTCATGGTTTTGTAGTGGCGTAATATAATGATGCGCTTATCACTGTTGCTTTCCCTTGTAGACTCCGCTGTGGACCGGTGCAGACGACGAGTCATCGGATAGCGTGATTTTGATTTCACGTGAAGCGCTTCGTCCTCGTAAATCCACCAGTCCCAATCCGTGTCCACATTGTGCTTTATCGTTTACCACTCCGGTTGGTTTGAAGCTTCATTTAAGATATTGTAAACTGGTTCCTTCGTTGGGACTGGATCAGAAGGTGAGTTTTTGATCTGTCTTGTTGATTGTTGCTGGGGTTCACGTCTCCTGATGGGAAATGGGCAATTGCTGTGTTTGTCATGTGTTTATTGGTCTGGCCAGATGTCGCTTTGTTCTTGCTCACGAAATAATTCAATGTTTATTGGGATGATAATTGCATATTTTTGTGCACCTACTTTCGACGTTTGTTGTCTTGGCCGAATTGTTTTGGTTTGTGTTTGTGTCAGTTCTGAGTTCCTTCTGCCCATGATCCTTTTTCATTTTCGTATTCCAGTGGAATATTTGATTTTGCACGTTTTGTGTTTACTTATCTCCAGTCGTCCCCAGTTTCACAGTCTTCGACTCGCAATGCTGAGGGTGAACGGGACGCGGTTGTGAAGAATTCTGAATCGCCCGTTCAATCTGAAGCGGAACATGTTTTTAGCAGGGATAGAGTTGTTTCAGAATCGGTGGTCGATAAATCGTTGATTGAGAAGACGGTTGATCGTGTGTTGGAGGAATCGGTAACCGATGTGGATACTTCTGTTCGTGATGCGGTTGCTGTGACCCCGTGTTCTGAGGTTAGTTTGCTTTAGTTTCCCTTCTCCGGTGTTTCTGTTTTCCGTCATTACTTGACCTTGACTTATGTTTGACTTCATTGTGTTATAATAATATGGTTTGTAAATTGCGCCAACTGTGTGATTTTATCCTAATTCGTGTTGTAGTGGATCTACGCGTATGTCGCTTCTTCTTACGAATAATGTTGGAGGATTGTTCGTCGGAGGCTATGCGTAAATTGGTTGGTCGGTTGACTGAATGCAGACAGTCGTAATCTTGTGTTAATTTCTCTGTTTTTTCCTTTTCTCGTATTATTCTTTCGTTTCTTCGGTCGTTCGCGTGACGGAAAGAAGGCACAGGTGCTTGCGATTTCCGGTCGGTTGTGTGATTGTTCTGTTTTCTGATCGAAGCTGCTCGATTTCATGTGTAGTCGCGGTTATTTTGTTTGTGGTTTGACTAGCTGATTTCGAAAGCTACCTCATTGCGATTTCTCCTATTTGATTTTTCTGCACTTCTCATTAGTGTGTACAACTTATAACCCCATTTTCGAGCTCACATTCTGATTGTTCTCCTTTCCGATTTCCTCCTATGGAACGCGTTACGTACTGAAATGTTCTCACCATTCGGTTCATTAATACACATCGTTAGGTCTGTGGCTTTTGCCATTTCTTCTTATGAGACAATAAATCGTAACCGTGTTCATCAGCAATCGTTTTGTATATTTTATTATTTTTGTTGTAACTTTTTTGATGTGCCTAAAATCATCCTGCACCATGGGTATCGGAATGACTCGTGATATCAGTAGTATATTGCACTTGTATATTTTCGCTCCTTTGAATGTTGATGAATCATCTCCATGCGTTTACCTAATACTGATCGTCCCCACGGACACTGGATGCTGCATCAATGACGACTACTATTTGGTATGGTATATATCGGTTGTCTTTCAGGATCACGGTGACGATATATCACATTTCGTTGTGTAAACTCATTCTGCTGATGTGCAAATCCTGATCATGTATCATGCTCTCCTTTACAGAGTAGGTCGAATATATCAGGAGTGCAACTCAATCTGTGTGGGTTTGTTCATCGGTCATGCATTAAACAATCTTTTACTTCTCACCTCTACCCACCGCACGTGAAAGTTCACCACAGCCGCGTGAAGTTCATCCGGATTTATTTGCAGGACATACTTCACATCTTGATGGTTAATCACATTTGCCAGTTGTTTGGTTCGCTTATACCGTAAATTGGAAATGAGCATTCCAACTGATGGACTTCATGGACTGCTACTAATCCCCCTTTATGAATTATACTCTTAATGTTTGCCCAAGTTCTTTGCATGAAGTTAAAAATCTGAATCACTCCACAGAAAATCATGTACACAGGATCACCAAGCTGGAAACAGTTGCATGGCCGGCAGAATTTTGGTATCTAAAGCTGTAATCTGTCTGATGGACTGTCAAAACTTCATCCTTCGTAATTCCTACAACCAAAGCTCGGGAGGGCAATAATATCAAATGTATTTAAGGGTATAAACACCCCATTGGTCGTCTTTCGATTTTTGCTTTATCAGCTCGGTCCTATGCGGTCAGCATACATTCGACTGAAAGTATATGAAAAAACTGTGTTTTAAAATAAATCCACAAATGTCGGTTTCCACAAATCGGTTTGATTTCTCCGTTTCAGGTTTCTCTTCCGCCTGCGAATGCCGTGTCTAATGTGTCAAGTTCCATTGTTCACGACGAAAAAGACGTGCTGGAGGGTGCTGATAGCTTATCACACCCGATAAGGCGAAGAGCTTCCGAACGTTTTACCGCAAAATATCTTGTCTCCCAATCGCGGGTCAGTGACTCGACCGACACGGAAGCAAAACGGGTGTTAAGGACTGATTCAGTTTTGGAACAGACCATTGATTCGTCGACCAGTTTCATAACCGGCTCACTTGAATTGATTCCTCAGCACTCATCTCTTAGTCCTCGACATTGCCCACGTTGTGCGACAGAGTTCTCTACGCCGGTTGAATTAAAAGTCCACCTTCGTCACTGCAAACGGTCGCTAGCGAGGTGTGAATCTGCAGTCCGTTCCGGAGATGATGCTGCTGCCTCTGAGTCGGAGGTCAGTGACTCATTGACTGATAAAACAGTGGAACAGGTACTGAGACTAGATTCAGTGTCAGAGAAGACGGCTGAAGACCTAGAGACACTTGTTGAAGAGACGACTTCTATGGAACGTGATTCTGAGGTTAGTTTTTATTGTTTTGTGGTTTGATGTGACAGCTGAAGGATTGCAGATGATTTCGTATGTAGCGCTTGTTTCTTCTTCATCCTATTGTTCTTCCTCTTAGTTTTCCGTGTAACAGCAATGCAGAGGAGTGCAACAAGGAGCTTTATGCGCATATTCCTTGTTGTTGTTGTCGTCTTGTAATTGATTTTGATCTTATTCGGCGATCGGTTGCTGGGTGAATTCCACACGGTTATTGGCACGGTTCGTGTTTGAAATCTGTGTGAGCTGTTGTGCAGTATGTCTGTGTTTGTTTTGTAGTCGTAGGAATTTCCTCTCTGTGTTTGAGGTTTTGTATTTTTCCGTGGGTTTAGACAGGTGTTTGTGGCGCTTCGACTATACACGACAGTGTCTGTGTACTTGGGAGCTTCCGTGTTTCCCGCGTTGATGGACTGTTAGTTTGACAATGTTTGCTGACGGTATTGTTTTTTTTTAAATTTGTTTCTTTCCAATGCTAGACTCCAGAACTGACGAATAATCCAAGTGCACTAACTTCTGATCACCGACCACCGAATTCTGTACGTTGTCCACATTGTGCGGGGCAATTCTCGACTCCGTTAGGATTAAAAATCCATCTTTATCACTGCAAACTTGTCCCGTCGTCAAGGCGTGTGAGCGAGGTGAGTTTTCATCTTTCTAGTATGCTTTAGGGTTCTAAAGCACCTGCCTTGCTTTCTTCCATCTTCTGACCTGAGTGTTTGTTTTTTCCTGTCTGAAAGGCTGATCTTTTAGAGAATGTGAAGCCTACCAAGCATGATGTTTCAATGAAGAATGGAAAAATAAAGCCAGGTGAACCTAGAAAACCTCGATTGTTGTATGAAGTCGCTTGTTCTCGGCGCAATGGTGATCGCGTGTTCTGCAAGCCGTCAGATCNATCCGATGCTGCAGAAATCCTTTTCGGTCACTTTGCGCGTGAAAAGACACGTGAGTATTTCTATGGTGATTCTCCGGGAATATTTCATGTCTGTTCCTCTTCGTCATCATCGAAAATAATTCCTGTCATGCTTATATTAGTTTTGGTGAATTTGAAACCGTTTCCAGTTATCAGCGTTTCATAATAAAAAACCATGCACCTCCACATGACGGCTTTCATTCCTATCTTTATGCGGTCCACTTGGATAAAAGAGCAGATGACGGATCAGCAGGTTAAAAGCAGATTCAGAGAAATGATAAAGCATTCTTATACACCAAGGTTGCAAGAATAATGGTTAGATGTATGAGCTCCACTGTATGCGGCAGTGAGCTATATCACTCAGTCTCTAACCATCTGTTGACATGATCCCTACTTCTGGTTTTTGTTTGGGACCCCTGGATAGAGATTTTGATTGAAAAATCTGACTTACAAGGCAGTCAGGAGTTCGAAACAGTGCGGCATGTAAAAGCCTGTCATGCTTAATAGTAGTCAACGGTGTCACAGAATTCGTTGACTACCGGTTCTATCTCGGTTTGATTCCATTTTGTGCCAGGCTGTGGATCTATCGGAGTTTCGTGCGACCCTTTTTGTGAGTTACGCCATTCTTTGTCTATCGGTTCAGCATCCCGTTCTGTTTTGGCGGCATTGAATAATGGTGTAAGCTTCTTCCTTTTGCCTCGTCTTTTGTGATATCTAACTTCTTCAAGATCATCCTATTTCTCCATTTTTATGTGACAGTCTTCCATTGCTTCCTGAATATTGTCGAAATTTTTATGCCAAGTCGATGGAAGCAATGAGATCATTATTATTATTTACCATTACTGTTGTCACAGCGTCGTCGCCACGTTCACTCATCCTCATCCCAAACGCATGTGGTCAATCCCAACGGAGTTTACCGATTTCGCCCTCGCACTGTCTCAGAACCGCGATCCGCTGTTTCACAGAAACTTCAGATCGTACGAGATGAAACAGTGTTAAGCACTGTTTCGAATCAGTATCCTGTAAGTCTGTTCGATAAATTTCGAAGTTATACGTTTCAGAGCTTTGTGACAAAGCGAGCTCCATCGGGAGCAGCTTTCATTAAACCATCCAAAGGGTTCTTACCATTTGTCTGTTTAATGATGTATATATATATATATATACATATATATATATATCCTTCGCACACTATTGACCGCATTGGTTTTCGGTATTTCGCATTTTAGAAATTACTGCCAAATGGGGACTACATTTTTGTCGAACTTGGAACATCGACATGATCGATACCCCGGGAAATTGCCTTATCCTTCACTATGGAGAGCACTATTGAGATATTTTATGGTTATGTTTATGACCTGTTCAAGTACTCTATACTCATGCTGTTAGTACATTATGTGAACATTTGGTTGCTTACCCGTTTCCTACTTAGCCGAAACGACCCCGTGGTCGACCTCGCACTCGCACACTACCCCTATCTCAGCCGTCGAACTACGCTAGTTCCACCTCATCGGCATCTCCATTGTCCAGACCTAGCCAATCAATCACGTCGGAAGTATCGCGACCGTCACTCAGATCGCGCATCCGCTTGCCCACTCGCCTGAGGTCATCGAATCGCCGTTCATCATCGATCGCTTCATCTCGTCTATCCGAGGACACCATAATCTCGTCCGTTCCACGCTCTTCTCGAAGCTGGTGGGTTTTGATTTATTTGATCATTCTGTGAAATTTGACTTCTTCGTTATTCTCTCATTGCGAACTAGTTACTGTCAGCAACGAACCAGTGAGCAAGTTCAATTTATGGTGATATATTTTTTCGTTTCATCGTCATTTTTGTTTCAAAGCCACACCAGCTGCCAGTGCATTAAACCGCATATACAACATCTGCACACAGAATCCCCATCCATCCTCCCTTGCTATTATTTCTTGGTTTGCTGTCTTACTTTTGTAATATACTTTTGTTTTATTACAGTCGCTCACGTGATAGTCGAACCAGTTCGGTGGATGACGCTCGTTCCATGGTCTCAGACGCGACCACACTTCCCGCAGTGAGACCTGTTTCAACTAAACGTCCACAATCAACCGATTCTCGTGAAAACCCCCTGTTTTGTGCGTGGTGTTGTAAATCCAATTTCATAACAGCTAAACAGTGGTCGGCTCATCGGCTAATTTGTGCCGCACGCCCGAAACCTGCCTGGTCTCAAACTAAACGAACTGCTCATTTGAAAGGTTCTACGCCTTCTGCACCAGTAGGATCGGAGTCGAAAAACAACCCGGGAAAAATTTGTTTGTCTATTCGATTACAAACATGCAATGCGTGCGGTAAGAAGTTCCGATCCCAGAACGCACTCAACGGCCATATGGTTGGCAAATGCGGCGCAAATGGTGGCAGTCGTCGTGGTCGTCCGGTGTCATCAACTGGGACTAAGACTTCCACCAGTAATGCACCCATAACCGATGAAGTGGTTTGTCCCGGTTGCCCCAAGTCTGCTCCTTCATTCGATTCCTTTGAGGCTTTCTTCAAACATTTTCTTTCTTTGAAACCCGGATATCATTCCTCTGCCGCCTCCCGATTGCTTGGCTGGCCAACGCCACTATCTGTTCCAAATTTGGGTTTCGGATGCTACATTTGTGGTCTGTTGTTAGCCTCGGAATCTCGCCTGGATAAACATAAACGTGAGGTTCACGAAATTTGGTTACGGAAAGAGCAGGAGCAGGCGATCAGTCCGAAAAAGAATCCCCCCACGACTGAGTGAGATCTCTCCGTCGTCACTGTACTGCCCTTCTATCTCAGGCGAGTTATACATTTTGTACGAAATTCATAGAAAAAACAATGATTGATACATGACCGCTGACTGTTGATCGACAGTGTATGTTCCTATCTATCCCACTTTTTGTACTTGTACATAATTGTTTCCGAAGAATTCAGCTTCATGTGTGCAACACACAAAACTAGATTGTTCTTATTCTCACTATACACCAGAGATATATATCTGAATTCCTTCTGCTATTTTAATATCAATGTGTGTTCCGCACCATCCCCATCCCGTTATCATGATCACTGTCCATTTTTTGTCGACATTTTTAGGTTTTTAAATCACTTTCTGCCCCCGCTGCTCGGTTCGCGAAACGCGACCGTG